GGGCTTTTCAATCTCCATATGTATCGTAATGCACGACTTTATTACTTTCTCTCTTTTTATGTTATAGCATTCTGTCTTGAAAAACTGGAAAAGAAAAACAAAATTTAAAATAGGCAAGTACAGGTTAGTAAAACGTTCAACTACAAACGACAGGCTACCTCTCCATAACAATAACTCAACCAGGGCAGTTCTACTGACTGAAGTGTCTGGGCCATTCACAAAGGAGGGAAATTAACATGTTCTTATGCACAGTACAATTGTAAATGGGCTGATTTATCAGTGTCATGCTCATACTGTGCCCTAGCAACATAAGGGGAACTTCTGCTTTTTCTTTCCTCATCCTTACTATCGTCATTTTCCTCTACTTCTTTTGTATGCTTGTCACTCTCTTGTGAACTGCTATTCCGGGGTGCCTCGATATTCGAAGCAGACTTTGTGCTGTTGAGGCTAGAGAGGTGAGCAGAGTAAGTCTGATTCCCCGTTTGGACTTCTCTGTTGACATCCACTCCTTGGCGCTCTTATGACCTTATGCAGTTGGGAGCGCCGTAAAACCTTACTAAAACAAACTATCATCATCATCATCATCATCCGGTGCCTTGCCGAATGGCGTAGGCGATCATGGACCTCCACTTCATTCTGTCTTGCGTTGCAGCAATGGTGTCTGTTGTTCTTGCTGCTGCCAGCCATGTTGTCAACGTGTCCAGTATCTTTTCCCTCTGTCTGCCTCTGCTTCTCTTTCCGTCAAACGTGCCTGTTGTTACAATACTGTATTCTCCAATACTTCTTTCCGCATTGTATGTCCAATGAAATTTGCCTTTCGCTTTCGTATATTCGTCATAAGCTGTCGTCTGCAATTAGTTTCAACCAAGACTTCTTCATTTGTTTTTCTAGCCGTCCATGGGATACGCAGCATGCGTCTTTTGAACCACAACTTTGTAGCCTCAATTCGTCTTTCCAGTTGTCTATTGATTGTCCATTAAAACAAAGTCTACATAACAACAACTCCAGCTCTAAATCCCCGCCATCCTTCCTCCTACCCCAGACGTGCCAACAGTTCTGTGTACAGTCCAGCATTGTCACAAGGTGTGGATGTTTCGACCCAGAGGATGAGGAAATCTTCAAACGGTTGAACGAGACGGACACCGACATCAGCTTCTGCCGCTCTGCCAATGGTAGGTCCGCCTTGCTTATGCGCCTTATAATAATAATAATAATAATAAAGAGCCCACAATTCGCTGACAAATTAGCTGACCATCTGTTTGTTGTTGTTGTTGTTGTTGGTGGTGGTGGTGGTGGTGTTGGTGGTGGTGTTGTTGTTGTTGGTGGTGGTGTTGTTGTTGTTCGTGGTGGTTGTGTTCTTTCGTAGCACCATCGGTTCTGGGCTTCAAGAACTAGTGTGTGTTGTCAGTGTCCTTCGAGAAGAAACCTTGGCTGACCCTCGCTGAACTTTTTGACGCACGTTCATATGGCCTTTTGCAGTTAAGATTGCGAGCGTCGTAAAACACTTACCAAAACAAAGTACTTGAACAATTTACTACTAAACAATTTACTACTTAAACCTTTCGCTATTGAAACCTTCTGCTATATAAACCTTCTGCTACTTAAACTTTTCGATGTTTAAACCTTTTACTACTTAAGTAAACCTTTTGCTATTTAACCCTTCTGCTATTTAAACTTTTCGCTATTTAAACCTTTTACTACTTAATTAAACCTTCTGCTATTGAAACCTTCTGCTATTTAAACCTTCTGCTACTTAACCCTTCTGCTATTTAAACTTTCTGCTATTTAAACCTTTCGCTATTTAAACCTTTTACTACTTAATTAAACCTTTTGCTGTTTAACCCTTCTGCTATTTAAAACTTCTGCTATTTAAACCTTCTGCTATTTAAACCTTCTGCTATTTAAACCTTCTACTACTTAAACCTTTCGCTATTTAAACCTTTCGCTATTTAAACCTTCTGCTACTTTATCCTTCTGCTACTTAAACATTTCGCTATTTAAACCTTTCACTACTTAATTAATCATGTCGCTATTTAAACCTTCTGCTACTTTTACCTTTCGCTTTTTAAATCTTCTGCTATTTAAATCTTTTGCTACACTTTTTGCTATTTAAACATTTTGCTGCTTAAACATTTGACTACTTAAACCTTTAAGTATTTAAAGTTGATAAAACATTGATGTCCATGTTCTACCATTCAACCACAGAAAGAATGATCAAATTTTGAATAACAGCATGGGCCGGGAACACAGGAAAACAAGATAAAGAAAAATTAAATCGACTAATACGGAAAGCATGTAAAATTTGAACATCTTCATTCCCCTACTTGGATGAATTGTACATAACTGCTTGCACTAAGAAAATTAATTCCATCTTTTTAGACAACAAACATCCTTTGTTCCCTCAAATAAAAACATCAGTCAGAAGTAAAATACCTAGGCTTCTGATCTATAACAAAGAAAGATAAAGAAGGTCATTTTACCATCATCTATCAAAATGCTTCCATCTTAACAATCTTGTATAAGTATACTTACGACCTTAGAGCATGCATTAAAATAACATTGAGTGTGTATCTAGCTTACAATTATTATTGTTTATATTGCTGCTCATTTATACAATGCATGTGATTGTAAGCCTACTTGTGTGTGCATGTGTGTGCACGTGTGTGCGTGTGTGTGTGTGTGTGTGTATGTGTGTGTGTGTGTGTCTGTGTGTGTGTATGTGTGTGTGTGTGTGTGTGTGTGTGTGTGTGTGTGTGTGTGTGTGTGTGTACACGTGGTGGAACACCAAACCAATGTGCCAGGATCTGGACAATAAAGATGTATCTTATCTATCTTATTACCTTCTATTCTATCAACTTTCTGCTACTTAAACCTGATTTCAATCTTTTACTATTCAAACCATTTATTGCTACTTAAACCTTTTGCTACATCAACCTTACTTCAACCTTTTGCTACTGAAAGCTTTTGCTTCTTATTAAACATTCCTCGCGGGTGGTTGGCAGGTGCCCTTGTGTGGTTTGCTCCATCTTCCCTACAGACATCTATCGTCCTGATCTCTCCTTTTTTTTGTATTTGTTACTCTCTTTGTCACACCTCTTATCTTCGGCACTTATATGACCCTATTACATTGCAAGTGCCGCAAAACTCTTACATAAACTAAGCTAAAACCTTATTTAAACCTTTTGCTTGTTAAACCTTCTGCATCTTAAACCTTTTTCTACTTAAACATTCTGAGTGGGTGGTTGGCGGGTTCTTTGGTGTGGTTTGCTCCATCTCTCCAACAGATCTATTGCCATGATCTCTCCTTCTTCATGTGATTGTTACTCTCTTGTTACTGTTCTAACCTATGACCGTATTTGTTGTCAGCTGGTGTCATGATTGATTGAGTAACCGAATTCACATCCTCGTGAGGGTGTGTAGATTTATCGTTCTTGCCTTGTGCACACCAGGAATATGTTGTTGTGATTGAGTGGTATACCTTGTATCAGGTTGTGATTGAGTGGTATACCTTGTATCAGGTTGTGATTGAGTGGTATACCTTGTATCACGTTGTTGTGATGGAGTGGTATGCCTTGTATCATGTTGTGATTGAGTGGTATACCTTGTATCATGTTGTATTATGTATGTGATGGTCTTGACGATTCCTGCCTGCTAGTAGCACTTGACAGAAGAGTCATACTATTGTTTATTACAACATTTTTTCTTCAATAAATTTGTCTTTGATATTGATTTTGACATCAGGAGGACTTAGATGTACATGTATGTATTTGTTGCAAGTGCTGTAAAACGTTTACTAAAAGGGCCCATACACGTTAAAGAAAGCGTCAAAATTTTGCATCAACATTTTGATGTGAAATTTTGAAACAAAATTTTGATGCACAATTATTGCCCACACACGTTTCAGTGGGGTTTTTTCATCCATATTCAGTTTTGTCGGAATCTCTGACATGTAAAGAAAGGGAAAGGAAAATCGAGAGATGTAGGGGAGAGGTAGGGGTAAAGGGGAGGGTCCTTTTTCTGCGGCTTCTTTTCTTCTTCACATAACTTTGTGATTAACAGAAAAAACGGGAAAAATAGAAAACTTGGTTTGATTTATGATATTATGAGAAAGAAAAGTCACGAAATAGAGAAAGAGGGAAATAGAAGGAGAGAGGGGGAGAAGAGGTGAGCGGGAGAAGACAACGAAAGAGATTAAGGAAAGAGTGAGGAAAGGGAGAGAAAGAGAGAGAGAAAGAGATGAAGAAAGAGAGAGTAAGAGAGAAGCAGAAACGATCCTGTTTCCTTAGCGGTCATCTGCGAAATATCAAAGTTTGATCCAAATTTTTGCAGTGGCCCACACACGCATAAAAACTTTGACAACTTGTCCAAAAATATCTAACGGGTTTGATCCTTCCAAATTTTGATTCAAATCTATTTTTGACACTAAAACTCCCTACACACAGTCAAATTTTAGCCTCAACATTTTGATATCAAAATTTTGTTGCAGAATTTTTGCGCTTTTTTTAACGTATATGTGTCTCTTTAAACTCAAAACCTTCTGCTCACAGAGACTTTCTGTCTGGTGGAGATCCTGAGTGAGTACAACTCAGGGACCCTACAGTGTGACTGCCCCAGCCCCTGCGAGTGAGTACCTAACTGTGTCAACTGTGAGTGAGTACCTTACTGTGTCAACTGTGAGTGAGTGAGTGAGTACGTAACTGTATCAACTGTGGGTGAGAGTACCTAACTGTGTCAACTGTGAGTGAGTGAGTACTTAACTGTGTCAACTGTGAGTGAGTACCTAACTGTGTCAACTGTGAGTGAGTGAGTACCTAACTGTGTCAACTGTGAGTGAATGAGTACCTAACTGTGTCAACTGTTTTAGTTTAGTTTTAGTAGAGGTTTTACGGCGCTCGCAACTGCATAAGGTCATATGAGCGCCTATGAGTGAGTACCTAACTGTGTCAACTGTGAGTGAGTGAGTACCTAACTGTGTCAACTGTGAGTGAGTACCAATCTGTGTCAACGTGTGACGTTTCCTTCTGCCTGCTACGATCACGTGCAATGACCTTTGGGTCATTCGAACCACTGCCACCACTGCCGCGTCTGACATCGCAACATGGGTGGTTGGCGGGTGCCCAAGTGTGGTTTGCTCCTACTTCTTTCCTATCAAACTTCTAATTTCCTTTATGTCTCCTCCTTCTTCTTTGTGTGTGTGTGTGTCTATTACTCTTTTATCAGACCTCAAATCTTCGGTATGTATATATGCCCTAATTGTGTTGTAAGTGCGGTAAAACATTCGTTACTAAAACTAAAACATACAGCATCACAACGACCACCAATAATTATATTCAGTATAGCAATGTAGCAATATCACCACCGTAGAAAATAACAGGTGCTATTATTATATTATTGGTCATGTCATTTTTTGTCAAGCCCTCTCGAGTCTGAAGCATGAGATGGGTTCAATAGACACTTGTACGGTCCTACTTCATTGACTTCGTCATGCATGAGCTCTGGTGGTAGTACACATTTTCTCACTTTTCTCGCTTTATCTCCAGCTACACAGTGCTGTGTGTGTGTTACACGCATTTTTAGGAACGGAAAAGTCAGCTCTAATTAGAGATACTAACAACCCAGCGAATTTAGAAAACTGGGGCTTGAGAACGATCTTGCACTCCGGTCCTCAGTTGGTCGCTTTTAAGTACAAGGGGGCTATCCCAAAAAATGTTGTTTGGAGAAAATTGAAGGTAAAGTTTTTGCCCCTTGTTCAGTTTCTTTAAAATAAAGGAAGAGTTTTCTCTATAACCAAACAAATTTTAATATACACATTAATGGAACAAAACTTCTCCTATAGGTAGGGCAATGCCCACTTTTGGTGTAGGTCAAGATTTCTGGAAACCCCCGAAATCTGGGTTAGCCCGCCTGTCCTTAAAAGCGACCAATTATTGTTCTAAAGACCAAAACAAATCATTACATCGATGCCCTGATTGATGATTTATTAATCAATATCACTATCTGTCCCGCTTCAGGGAGACTCTATACTCGAAGGCACTTTCCACCAGAACTTGGCCAACTTCAGAGTACGCGGTAAGTTGGAGTACACTGTGAAAGACGTTCTCACCAAAAATCTGGACGTGGGGGAAATTCGGGACCTCAGTGCTTTCTTGTCCTATCTCCATTTGAAATTTAAAAAAATTGAAAATCTGGCTTTTTCTTAAGCTCACTCTTTGTTATGAACTGTTTTCAATGTTATCAAAAATGGAGATAGGACAAGAAAGTACTGAGGTCGCGAATTAATAATCCCGCTGTGCATTCTGAGAATGCATTTTACAGGAAAAATTTCAAGACAATGTGTTTTGAAGCTGTCCATTTTATGTCTGACAATAGATAATATGCTGAGGGTTCAACGCCCGTTTTAACTCTACAAAGGAAATATACGCGACCTCCGAGTTTAACCTTCATCTTCGATAGGACCAAGTGTAACATGTATTTGAACGGCCTTGAAAAGTTCAAAAACAACCATCTTCGATACCTAACAGACAACACTGTAGTTGTAATCAATAATGTTACTTAACGCTCAATGAAAAAAGATTGACCAAAAGGTGTGAAATTGAAGCCCTTGGACTTAACAAGAGTCTGACGGTTCTTTGGCGACAAACTATTGGTTGGAGGGGGCTCAGAGACTCCCACTAGTATATTTTCTCTTCGGATCACTTGAGTCACGATGCGATGGAATCAGATGTTTGGCATTTTTTGGGCGTGTTATATTATTGTTCTTATCTTGAAACTTGTTCATTAGTTTTGCTTTCCGTGAAGAAAATGCCCATCTTTCTTAAAATCTTAAATAAAAGTCGAGATATTTGCGATTGAAGGAGGCGAGGGTCTTAATCGAGTATCTCGGTCGGTGTACTGGAATGTCGTATCCCTATCGTATAAGTCTAGGTTGATCCCGGCAGGGGGGAATGGAGTCAAAGCAATT